GAGACTGCGGTAGCAGTCTCCTTCTGCATGGAAAGAGAGGGGAAGAGGGCAAATAAGCCAGAGGTATTGCCGAAATCTTCCTCTAATCGTTCCTGTATTTCGAGTAGCTATGTCAGACCATGCAAGAGGTGGTGGTTTGTCTCTTCTCTCAGTGCTATTTTTGATGGCTGTTATTGACGTGCCTTGTAACCTGTTTTTCTCTCCTTTGTGAAGGTAAAAGAAGGTTGAGTATCTGTAGTCCGGTAACCGCACGGGACGGTAGTCAGAAGCGTGTCGGGAGATGACAGCAGCTTGTTCAGCAGCATGTTTAAATAGTCGTGTGGCCTCACTTCCAAAAGTTCTAGCGCCGCTGCTGTTCCCAGCAGGTCTTCCGAGTTCTCCAGGGAGAAAACCCGTGGGCTGGAGAGACGGCTTGCTTTTGTTCTGTAAAGTTCTGCTCAGATTTGGCTGAGGAGCTTTTCATAATCCTTTTTTCCCTTTGGCTGATTATGTTGTTAAAATGCCAAAATAAGTGTGTGTTAGCTACTAATCCAAAACTGGGCCTGTGCTGCTGTAGCAACAGCATCATTTTGCAGCCACTGCCTTCTGCTGTGAGTTAATGTGTCATACACCTTAAGTTGTGCTGTGATCTGGAGGGTTAAGGTTCATGCATTTCTGCTGATAAGGATGTTATGCTTATTTATGATATTCCTCTCCATCACTCTCTCTAAAGTACAAAAATATTATTAAAAGAACTTCAGTTGGTAAGCAAGTTAAATACCTGGAAGACTGAAAAACGTGCTGGCAGCTTTAATCTGTCTTCAACTCCATATATGTGTAAACATTTGTGGATAATTTCTCCTTAGTGGTCAAGTTTCATCCACAGAAGAAATAAATTGAAAGGGTGAATTTGTATTGTATTGCAGGCTCAGGCTTTATGTGTGCTCTTTGTCTTACTCTTTTTCCAAAGTGAAAGGTGTTAGAGAACAGGAGAATCCCAGTAGAGCAGATAAAGGCTATGCAAAAGCAGTGGTTTTACTTTGCTTCTTAAATGTTATTTCATTTGCACTAAAGTCTCCTTTTACTCAATTAACTTTTTAAATTTGGATTATAGTTCCCTTGCCTCCCGCTTTGTTGTTGGAAGTATAATGGACAAAATAAGTGCTCAATTTAACTAGCAATATCTGGTTGGAAACTTTCTGGGTAAGATTTCTGTACGTTTTTGGACAACCAAGTTTTCGACTTCAGTCCTAAAGGTATCTTATAGTACCTTTGTGAAGAAGGGAGGCATGCACCTATTAGTTTCCAGGTGCACTCCCGTAGTTGCTGTGGATTTCAGCTTTGTAACAAGCCTATGCTTTGTATTCAGTTCAATTGAACTAAAAATAACAATATTTCCTTCTTACTGGTGGACTCTTTTTCTTCGATGAGCTCTGTCTCAAACGAGGCAAATGCTGTTTGACTCTGGCAGTGAGATCCAGTGGTATAGAGATGGGAGCAGGGAATCATCTGTCTAGTGATCAATGTACTGGTGACAATTCTCTTTCAGTTTCCTTACGCACAATAAGAATAAAGATAACGGGAGTATTTGTTGGTGAGATGGTTAAATTGTGTAAGGAGTAAGCATTCTCCAAAAGAGCACAAATAAGTAATTACATTATTGAAGGTTACAGAGAAATCCTATGTAGGCTGTTCTAAGTATCTGGGCACCATCCAGTCTAAATATGAATAAGGGAAAAAGACTGAAAAATCTTGTAATGCAAACTGGTCTAAAACAGGCCAAGAGAATTAAAATTGCAGGGGAGCTCTAGGTTGTGACTGATTTTGCAAGCTGCTGTTTTTAATAATTTCTGATGTGACACTTAATGCCTTGTTTTGAATTATGTTGTGATCTGTTAATGCTGCTTGAATCTACAATACCATGAAAGTAGTAGAACATCTCTGTAGAAAAGTCTGTAGAGCATTTCAGTAGACTGTGCTGTTATTTACCTAATGCCAGAGACTGGTGTAACCTCTTAATGCGCAGTCGTGATGAAAACGTGGTAAGTTTAAACTTTGGGCATGAGAACAAGAGGTGCTGTGAGGTAAAGTTCTAGTTGGCTTAGATAGGTGGTTCAGGCAGGTCGTTGAATAGTGATGACTGGTTTAGACTTGGTTACATAGGTGCTGGAAGGTGGCTGGGGTGTTCAGTGTGTAAAGTGTGAGCTTTGTATTTGTCTATTTAGAAGCATCTCTAGTAAAAGGTGTAGTTTTACAAAAGTCCTATGTGACAGAGAAATCTGTTGGAGTGACAGATTGTTTGCAAACAGAATCTTTTTAGGAGCAGGCTTTATTGACATAGCTGTAATTGCTCTTTCAAAACCTTGTTTTAGCTGAGTCACTATTGTCATCGGTTATGGAATGTGTTTGGATGGGAATGTTCAGCTGGAGTCTTTGGGGGAAAAAGTAATAGCATCAAGCCTGTTGACATTTGGAAAAGCAGTCTTAAGTGATACTAGAGATCAGAAATTGATTACTCATTGTACATCTTAAAACCCCATACAAACTTGTAGTGCAGATCTTTGTTTTCCAGTTCTTCATTTAAGCTACAAACATACTGAAAGAGCTCATTATGAGATAGATTCCCAGCTTCCTGTCACCAGGTATTTGAGATAGGTGAGGGGTTTTTTTTAAAAATAGTTTTGGATTTTTTTTTCAAAACTGGATATTTTCTTACTATTTTCATTGGTTTTAAAACCAAGCAGCTTGGAAGAGGAAAAAGCCTAGCAGGTGCTGCAAAAAACATCTTTTATTTGATAAGGAAGTGAAATACCTGAGAATAGAATAGGTTAAAGTTGTTAATACTGCCTCTGTTCTTGTTCTCATGTTCTTTCTGTTCTACTTTTAATTTTTTAAAATATTTTAGGACAAACTGCATCTTTTCTACTCAGTGTTATCTGGTGCAGTGTATGTGGGGAGTGTCTTAAAATTTTTTTGCATACTCTATTTCTGCTGTACAGTGGTCAGGCTATCAAGGGTGTATTTTTAATAGAAAATATACCTTATATGTACAGAGTACATGACATCTGCATTTCAGTCTGGGATCTTGGAGAGAAGTTGTGCTTGTGTTCCATTTACTTTAAAGTTGTTTTCTTATTTTGCTGTGGGAACTGGTTAAACTTGTGTAGTAAGACCTGAAGCAGTGTATTAACAGAATTTTTGGCCTGTTCTCTGTAAATATACAGAGGTCAGGAATTCTGTGGCAACAGGTATGAATTAAAATACTATGTAAGAAGGAGGATTTATTTTGGGTTTCTTTTGGGTGGCTAAAATTACCTACTGTAATACAGAATGCATTATTTTTTCCCAGTAATTCTGATTTCTGAGAAGTAGCTTATTTTCTTTTCCATCTTTCTGAAGGATTTGTGAGACAATATCTGGAAATAAGGATAGCATTGTTCCTTTGGGTATATCACCTCAGTTTCATCTCTGTTAAGTTTTGGTGATAATGCATGGGCATGAACACATGGAAGAAGCAGCTTGTTTTAGTAAAGAGGTTTTTACTATTAAGCAATTGCTTAAGAAGTTCTCCTGTCTGAAGACTGAAGCTGGACAAATGTTAACTAGACTTAATTTTTCTTTTCCTCTCCTTTCCTTCCTCTCCTTTCCTTCCTCTCCTTTCCTTCCTCTCCTTTCCTTCCTCTCCTTTCTTTCCTCTCCTTTCTTCCCTCTCCTTTCTTTCCTCTCCTTTCTTTCCTCTCCTTTCTTTCCTCTCCTTTCTTTCCTCTCCTTTCTTTCCTCTCCTTTCTCTTCTCCAGCTGTTGCAATCTTGAATTCAAGTTTGGGTTTGTTTTATGTTTTCTTAAGTAGTTCCTGGTAGGCCAAACCAAAGAATTAAGGGAAGTAGGTCAGAATAATAACTTTTAATAGTCTCTTGTAGCCTTGAATATAAATTGGTAATCATCTAGTGTGACTAACAGCTAGCAATAAGCAAAAATGACAGAATTTAGGTTGCACTTGCAACGTATGTTAAAAACTTGTTTATTTTTCCATAAAACCTGCAAAATATTTCAGCATTTGTAGCTCCAGGTAGTTTAAGCATGTGACCTTTTCAGAGGATTGTACATAGGGAAAGCAATCTGTACACCTGAAATGAAACCTTACTTCTGGTCTCCTTTCTTGCAGAGTCTGCAGCAGTCGAGGAGTCGGACTGAGTTCAAGTTCAGAAGTGCTTTACACATGAAATCTACTGGCTCTCTAGCTGATTCTGCCCTGTCACCATCTCAACAGGTAGAGAGCTTTTGTGCCTGAGCCATGCAGTAAGTCAGGCTGTTCCTAGTGTGGTTGTCCTGTGTCAGTCAGTGTGATCAAAGGCGCACTGAAACCTTCAGTTTTCTTTGGGGAATGTGTCAAGGAGACAGGAATGCATGGCAGATCTGTCACAAAAGTTCCCTAGGAAAAAGCCTAGTAGGTTTGGTTTTGATTTTTAGCACTCATAGAGTTTAGTGAGAGAAGAAATTTTCCTGTCATTCTATCAGAGCTTCTGTTCTAAAATGGAACAAAGATACCTGGGGCATTGGGGGAGCATCTGCTTGAGTCAAAGTAGTGTTTTGCTCTGGGTTATTCCCCCCGCTGAAGTTGGGGATTTTTTTGGTGGGGTTTTGTTTTTTTGGTTGGTGGTGGGTTTTGGGGTTTTTTTGTCTTCCTTACAGCTCCTGTAATAGGATGCTTGGGGCAGGAGTAGGTGTGGAAAAGCCTTTCTTTATAAGGTTGACATAAAAAGTTGTGCTTCCTTAGAATTCTAACACTCACTATTTTTGCTGTAGTTAGATGTCTTTTTGGTTTGGTTTTTAGGTAGATGGATAATTTACACTTCAAAAAGCAGTTAGTACATACTCTTTCAATGCTAGATCACAGTTAAAACTATAATCTTTCTAGAAGTATGCATCCCTCTGAGGTTTTTCTTGCAATGAGAAGCCATGTTTTGGACCTTTTTCTGCCTCTCTCGTGTAATACATATAAATTGCTATAGATTTACGATGATAATGGTAGTAGTAGCAGCATACTACTTGTATGGTAGTTTGGGCTTTGGTAATTGAAGCTCCTTCTTGTGTTCTCTGATTAGCAAAAAAACCAGACTCATTTTAGTATGTCAGATATCCGCAGTCATTACCAGGGAGGAAAGATGCTCTTTTTGTTGTGGGTGAATTTATGTTTGAGAATGCAATAAAAACTCATCTATCCAAAAGTTTTGGATATAGTTTTAACTTCATTGATCTGCTGTGTTGTAATGGAATACAGGGTTGTCCTGATGAACTTGGGGATATGGGCAGTAGTTTATATCCTATAAGGGTGAGATTTTGCGTGGCATTGGAAAGAATTCTGCTGTGTGATACAAATTATCTTAAAAAAATATACAGCTTCATGAAGTTACTGTCAGGAACTTCTCTTTCAAATCAGAAAAAAAAATAAAAAAGAGTAATTGCCTAGTATATAAAATACTAAAATATGGTCATATGTACTATATTAGCTGTGCAACTGAAGCACATACCTTTAAATTTGTCACCTCTTACTTGTTATTTCACGTTGACGACTAGCAGTTTGTAATGTTGTCTGTTGTTCTTATGAATTTACCATTTTAAAGAGTCATTGTAAATTAGCGTAGCATTAGATTAACTTTGCTTTATGTCCCTGTTTCCTGCCTTCCCAATGCAGTGGAAAGACATTTGAGCAGGATTTGAGGTACCAAGCTCCTTAATATGAGAATAAAAAGCTGCAGTGGCTTTGGAGAAGCCTCAGGATGGGGCTGTTTAACCTCGGATTTTGTATAGTCTTGAGGAATAGAGTTAGAGCATCCTCAAGCAGGGATGGCTACTAGTGGTTACACTTGCCATTTACCAGTTGAAATGGTATCTGAACCTCCGGTTCATGTTTTTCAATGATTATTTTTAAACTAATGAAGTCAAAAAGACCTCAAACCAGTCGACCCAAAAACCAGCATAGGGATGTTGGTCCCAAAAAGGCAGCATAACCTGAATAACACCGAAAATTAATGTGGCTGTGCTATTGTAGTAATAGACTGAGGTATTGTTTTCTAGGTACAAAAATGGTCATGCTTTCTGTGCAGGACAGGGATGACAAGACAAGAAAAGCTTGTTTAAAGCATTTGATAGTTAGACCTGTTAGACAGGGTAAATGATAGTTATTCTGCATGCATGCGAGGATATATAAAAATAAAATAGCTTGTTCAATAATTATCCCTAGTGCTGCCAATTCTGTTTTGGCAGAATATTCTAAAGGTCTTTTTTCTTATTTCCCCCCCCCTTTTTTCTTTTTATACTGCTCTCTACCTCTTCCTATTTTTCCATACCTTCTTCTTTTTTTTTTTTTTTTTTAAAAATAACACCTATCACTTAAATGTCTTTCTCACTTGGCCATTTGTTCTCTGAAAGTTTCTGCATCTTACCAAACTTGTTAGCCACTCTTTTAGCCAGAGACTTGGGTAAAAGATGGAAGATTGAGAAGTATGGAAGTCTCTTCTACAATCTCCAAAACAAAAGGGAATTTTTTGGAATGCTTTGCATATACTTGGCAGCTTGTGGGTGGATTTGGATGCTCCTGGGAATTTAAACCTGTAGTACTGCTTGTGTCTGTCTCTTCTTCTACTTCCTTGAACATGTAATTTAAAAACCTGTTGGCCTATTTAGTCAAATTTGAGGGAGAGAAGAGTCTCAAAGATACTTGAGCTTCCTAGGTTTGGTGAATAACAGGTAGCTGAGTAATAGAGAGTTCCGGGAGCAGTAATAGTTGCTGCGATTGCGTATCTTATTGGGACCAGAGAATTCATATAGGGTAGAGTAAGTAAGCAGACTTCGGGTTTGATAACACAAAGTACGACTCCTTACACTTTGTACTATAGAAGAAAGCAAGAGCTCTCACTTGCAGCTGGAATATTGTGACTGAAACCCTTATGCTATTTTAATGTTTGTGTTACAACAGCAACTGAAAATCATGTGGCTGTAGCAGCTGGAATTTTAATCCTTTTAATTATGATAGATTTTCAAAGCATGTTCTGGCTGATTTGGTCAGCTGACTGCATAGTATGTACAATAACATCAAGTGATTGCACAAATTCTGAGAGCTGTGGTCACCTCACTGGAACGGGATGTATTTTTAGGTCTCTCTGCTAGTAACAGTCAAGTGCGTGTACTTAAGCATCTCATATGAACTGAAGCTAGTTGCTGACACTACACTATAAGAAAAGGACAGCTGTTCATTCTTGCTATTGTCATTGATCTGACACTATCTTCTCATCAAATTGTGTGGCAAGGAACACAATGGGGCATATACACTATGTTATTTTAATGAGGGTTTTCTTCGAGTCAGTAATGATACTCTCTGCCAGTCCTTTCAGTTTTCTGTATTGGAGGAAATTAAAGCACTTAGATACCTTCAGCAAGAATTTTCTTCTCTCTCCCCTTTACCCAACAGCTTTTTCCTTTACAAGACAATGTTTGGGAAGAGGGTGTAGTACTAGTGTTATATTGGTTATAGTTCTTCAAAGGAAAATGATTCATGTGTGGATGCTTTTAATCAATGAATCAAAGAGGTGTTAAGTTTCATGGTTCACAAAGTTAGCTTACAAAATGAAGTGACCATTTGTAGATTAATGAATGTGCTAATTCTTGAGGTCTTATCCATTTATTTCACCAGTTTGAAAGGGTCACTTGTTTGGTTGTTGGGTTGGCTCGGGTTTTTTTGTGTTGGTTTTTTTTTTTGGTGGATTTTTTTGTTTGTTTGTTTTGTGGTTTTTTGTTTGTTTGTTTTTTGTTTTTGTTTTCCTTTGGACTTAATTTGCAATTGGATAATTGAGTTATATCAAAAGCCTTAACTAGTTTAAGCAGTCCAGGATACTCATGACTGCCCAAAACAGCTGTTGAGCTTGAAGCCCAGGTATTAAAATTAAAAATGCAGAAGAGGACATTTAATATATATAAAAGGACTTTGTAGTAATCTATAAATAAAACATGACATTCTGAGTAAATTGAAGTTCTGTAGCAGGTGCTGTGAAGTTAAGGCTTGCAAGCAGGACACAGAATTTTACTGAATGTCCTGCTGATGGTCTACTGTTGTCCAAAGAGATTTTCAGTTACATATTTAGTTAAGGAGTCAAAGAATTTGAATTTTAAGAGAAATGACAAACTAATATTAAACTTCTTAGTGACCAATAAAATTCTTATTTATGGAAACTGAAAAATAGGTTACTTGAGCTATTTAATTGAACACATGCATAACTTTCTTTATAAAAACAATTACAGACACCTGTTAATAGAACTAAAATCAGCATCTACATATTGGTAAAACATGTTATTTTAGTGTCTGCTCTGGCTTTCATGTAGTGTCTGTAGGTGATACTTGATGGTTTGGTCAGGCTTTCTGTCTTCCACACTTCAAAATCCATTTGCTTGTATGAAATCATTAAATTTTGGTGAATATTAGCTTATATCTGAAAGGAGTCCAGAAGCCTGAGAAAAGCCAGTATCATCATGCAACTTGGGTTTCACAATCTGACTTGTAAAGACCAAGATAGTGTGCTAGGGAGGAGGATGTTTTACTGTCTTAATCGAATGTTCTTCTGTGTAAGTTCACATAGGCTATTTAAAGATAGTATTTGATGATGGTTGACTAATTTAGGGTATGTCTACACAAATGGTGCAGGCAAACACGAGCTCAGTTGACTGCATGCTGAGCTGTCTGCATGCAGACCAGCTTTGGCCTAGAAGCAATAGAACAGTGCTAGCATAGCATAGCAGTGTGTGAGCTAACACACCTGCCTTCTGCTCTAGAAGTGGCTCACTTCTGACCACCTTAAAGTAAGCAGGGCACACAGGTTTTTGCAAAGTAGGTAAACTTTAAAAAAAACAAAAACAAACCAAAACCAAAAAAAAAGCCGAAGCCAAAACCAAACCACCATCAAACCACCAAACATAATTATGGATAACTGATTAAATTAAGCCTTACTGATACCAGACTAGGCTCTGTGAGGGCTCTTGCATTATGAGCTAGTAATTGTCAGGGCTGTTTCCATTTCGTGTTAAGCACTTTAAAATACGCACATAACCTAAGAGCTTCCTTTTGATCTTTGCTTACCTGATGACTTAAGGAAAACTAGAGTTTAGTTTCAGTATTGATGTAAAAGTCTGAAATTTTCTTTGGTCTAGCAACAGGTAGGTTGCTGTGTTTGTCAGGAATTATGTAGAGAGGGCTTTGCCGGAAGAACTAAAAATATCTCCAGACAAGTCAATTTTCTCTTTTTAATTCTCTACTGAACACATTTCAGCTCTTTGCAGTAGTTGCTATCTGACTTAATATGCAAGTTGAAAACAGGTTGTGTGCCAGAAGGGTTTCATAAAATGTTTAGCAAGTCAGTCACTGAGTTCAGTAACTGATGCACTTGGTAATTTATTCAAATCTTACTTGTTACTCGGTATATAAATATTAAGGTGTGGTGGGGAAAACTCAGCTGTGTTTTGCCTGCTAAGTGTATCGCATATGCTTCTTTGTTAGAAGTGTTCAGGAGAGTGGGTGGCTAAAATATTTGAGTTATCCAAATTACGATGGATGGGGGGGATGATGCTACTTAAAGTTGGCATGAATTTCAAAGCATTTAAAAAATACGAGTGAGTGAAGTGTCACATAGATTTCTATTTAAATGCTTTAAATTATTTAAAGTGGAGTGTCTAAAAGGCAGTTTTGTTTCCTCTTACCTTCAGTTTGAACAAAAGGAAAAATAAAAAGCAGTTTTATTTTTACAGTTTAGATTCTTTAAGCATTTATTTTTTGAGAAAATTGCTGGAAGGTGGGGAGTGAGGAAAAGATAGAACTGAGCAATGTATTTTTGACACAGTGTTTTGAGATTTGGCTTTATGCAAGTCATTCTCTGATATTTCAGAACTGCACTCCCTAGTGCTATCAATTCTGAGAGGGAATTTGTTAGAGCATAGTGGAGAGATTGATCACTTGTGTGAGCCTACACTACAACTAGTGAGCAGTTCCAGATCTTCTCCAAGTATGGTACAAAGACGCAAAATTTACTCTCTTCCCCTTCACCCCCTCCCACTCCTTTTTTTTTTTTTCCTTTTTCTTCCACCACGAAGAATTATTTTTTTGTTTGTGTCAGTATAATACTATGCAATGAATTTTGTTTGGATTTTTATTGCTTTTTGATCTTGTTATGTGAAGTTGTTGAGATACCCTTATACACAGAGCTGCTGGTATTATCATCAGGACAGCCGTAGGATACATTAAAAAAATCACCTTTTGTGGGTTGAACTGGAGGTATAGATAAGACTGTGTTGGGTAATAGGTTTTATGTAAAAGATTTCAGTGAAATAAAAGGAATTGGTTAATGCATAACATAACTGTTACCCTTGGGCAGCACCTACTATAAAAATAAGGGAGGAGCTATAGGCTATGGATGAAGAAGAGTGAAGAGCTGTTGTAAAGGACTCCCGTCAGAAGCATGGAGTGGGGGAAAATGGGACACAACAGGGAACTGAGATACATGCTGAGGGCTGCAGATTGCCTTCCACAAAACTGCATGAAGAGGGCATCAGAAGTTTAGATGGTATGAGGCAGCCCAGGGAATAGGTTGCTGCTGTTTAATTTGGAGAACTGGAGATGAGGATGAATCTCGCTTCCTTTATTTTGTCTCCCTACTATGTAGAGTTGTATGGTTTATGATTTTAGGTAGTAGGCCGTAGAAGAAGTAGGAGAAAAACAATGTTTTGTTTTTCATTGAATCTTCCATTTGCAGTGGGAAGGGAAGAAGAGCTATTCCAGAGGGATGATTACACAACATTTTTACCTAATTTCCATGTAGTAAACCTGGCGAATAAATGCCTAGACTGTGTCTTGAACTTTGATAAATGTGTATCTTTAATTTTCAGGTGAACCTTTAAATACTATTTCTTTGAGAGAAAATGTCACACTTTCTTAAAATGGCTACTGATCAGCTCACATTCTGTTAATACATATCTTTCTGTACATGTAGAAGATGCGAAACTGCAAATAATTGTAAATATTCACAATATTGAGTTACATTCTATGATTTTGTCTCCTTTCTCTTTACTCAGAATTGGATTTACAGTCATGGAGGAACATCAGCAGCATGTACACTGTGTGAACTGTGTCAGCCGTCGTTGTATGACCAGACCAGAGCCTGGCGTTTCCTGTGATTTGATTGGCTGCCCGTTGGTTTGTGGAGCAGTTTTTCACTCATGTAAAGCTGAGGAACATCGCATGTTATGTCCACTTGAAAGAGTGCCTTGTTTGAACAGTGGCTTTGGATGTCCCTTCATAGTAGCCCGAAATAAAATTGCTGATCATCTAGAAGTTTGTCCTGCAAGTGTGGTGTGTTGTACCATGGAGTGGAATAGATGGCCAGTCAGTTACGCAGACCGAAAATCTTATGAAAATCTGAGTAAAGATGTTGATGAAGTGGAACAACTAGATATGGCTTTAGCCCTTCAAGACCAGCGCATGTTATTAGAATCACTTAAAGTAGCAACTATGATGTCAAAAGCAGGTGATCAAATACCAGAATCCAGAGAGCAAACCTCTGTCAAATCAAGTGCCCCAGATACAGTGCATTCAAATGGTTTGATGCCTGTAGATGAAGAGTCTTATGGTGCTCTTTATCAAGCTACTGTAGAAACAACGAGGAGTTTAGCTGCTGCTCTGGATATCCTGAACACTGCTACAAGGGACATTAATATGTTAAGTTCAAGCCTCTGCAGTTCACCACAGGAAATGAAAGAAGATACTGAGATTAAAGAACAAGCTTCTAATGGCATTATTCAGGATAAAAAGTCTGACCATGAATATCCAGATGAAGATGACATAGGAGCAGTTGGGGGGATAAAATTTGACAGCCTGAGTCAAAATTCACAAATGGAGCAAAATGGTTCTAGTGATATTTGTTACGATGTAGTGCAAAAACATGACTTACATCTAAACCTCAGTAACTCACTTTTGTGTAATGGCTTTCATGTAGAAAACGAATGTTCAAAAGTGTTGGACCAGAATGAAGATCTTGGTGTGTCTAATTCAAAACCATCCAGTGTAGCAAATGGTGAATGTACTGCTTCTCGTGATGATGAAGCATTACAGTCTAGCAGCTCCTTCCCTGTAACAGCACAACTTAAAGAAGTAGTATCAGCTGATCACTTAGTTAATGGCAATGTTAATCATGTACTACTTCCCCATAATGCTAACGAAGAAGAAATGTTAGAGAGACAAGTGGAACAAGAAAGATTGAGAAATGTAGATGCATTCTCACTTTTACGGCATCGATCGTACAACTTCATTGTTAACAACTATTGGTCTACATTAAAAGAAGACAAAGCTGTTGATACATCAGATTTGGAGATAACAGAAGATCCTATGGGTCTTCAAGGCATTGATCTAATCACAGCAGCTCTGTTGTTTTGCCTAGGAGACTCTCCCGGCGGTAGGGGGATATCAGAAAGTCGCGCTGTTGATGTGTATCACATTGACTTTGGGACCCAAACATTTTCTCTCCCATCTGCTATACTGGCCACGAATACAATGGTGGGGGAAATAGCTTCAGCTTCTGCATGTGATCATGCCAACCCACAGCTCTCAAATCCAAGTCCATTCCAGACCCTTGGACTGGATTTGGTATTGGAATATGTGGCTAGATACCAAACAAAACAGCGTTCAATGTTTACATTTGTTTGTGGACAGTTGTTTAGGAGGAATGAATTTTCATCGCATTTTAAGAATGTGCATGGTGACATTCATGCTGGCCTTAATGGCTGGATGGAGCAGAGGTGTCCTTTGGCATATTATGGGTGTACATATTCTCAACGAAGGTTTTGCCCTTCAACACAAGGGGCAAAAATTATTCATGACCGCCACTTACGGTCATTTGGAGTTCAGCCTTCTATATCCACAGTATTAGTAGAACCAGCAAAAAGCTGCTTAATTGGACTACACAATGACCATCTGAGTAGTCTACCTTTTGAGGTTCTGCAGCACATCGCTAGTTTTCTAGATGGCTTTAGTTTATGTCAGCTTTCCAGAGTGTCACGTTTAATGAGAGATGTGTGTGGAAGCTTGCTTCAAGCACGTGGAATGGTGATACTACTATGGGAGAAGAGAAAGTATGCAGATAGAAGTTCTTGGCAGATAAAAGAAAAGGTAAGTTATTTAATTTCGAATATTTCAGAGTTCTCTTAATGTTTTCCCTGATCACTATTGTTACTACTGTTTGGGTTTTTTTTATGCAATATCCCTTCAAGAAACAGATTGTTGCACAGAACAACGAATAGTTAAAATTGTTAGCAGGTTTGTTTGGTCTTCTCCACACTTGGAGAAGTAGAAGTACTGTTGGTGTAGTTTTTACTTCATGTAGGTAAATTAACCTCTTTTTCCCAAGATTTATAAACATTAGATGATTACTCTTTAATATCAATATTCCATGAAAGTGCAAAAGTTGCCTACAGAGTTTGCTTTTTTGCCTTACATTGTTTACAGCAATTTTAATTTTTGCTAACTTGTTGAGATCCTATCCATTGCCATGATACTGAGTGCCTTAAGGATGTAAATAATTCTTAAAACCTTTGGGTGACCTTTGTATAGTACAGTTTTCATCACCACCACTCTCCCCTGACCCGCAGAGTTATCTGCAGCAATCCTTCAGAATTGCAGAAGTTAATCATTTCAGAAATGGATCGTTGTGACTGGTCATGCAGTACTTTGTCATTCAACTTCTGATTGCATAATAGAATCATAGAATAGTTAGGGTTGGAAGGGACCTTAAGATTATCTAGTTCCAACCCCCCCTGCCATGAGCAGGGACACCACATGCTAAACTATGTTGCCCAAGGCTCTGTCTGTCTTCCCAGTGTTCAGAATTGACTTGGAATCTGACTTAAGCTGAGACTGATTATACAAAATTTAGCATTGTATGTTTTTGTCATGTTGTTTTTTACTGTCATTTATAGTAGATGTAAAACATTGCCTGAAAGCAATACAGCATAAGGATTTAAATCCAGGTATCTTAAAACATTGTGAGCCTAAGTGCAACTTATTTTCTAGGTTTGGCGCTTCAGTACAGCCTTCTGTACTGTGAACGAATGGAAGTTTGCTGACATCGTAAGCATGGCTGACCACTTGAAGAAATGTAGCTATAATGCTGTAGAAAGAAGAGAGGAGGCTGTTCCGCTGCCATGTATGTGTGTAACAAGAGAACTCACTAAAGAAGGACGTTCGCTGCGCTCTGTTTTGAAACCAGTACTTTAAATATTGCAACCACTCCAATTGCACATACACTCAAGCACCTGATATAACCTCGGTAATCTTATGTGACACTTTATTAATGTACTAAAGATACTTTCTAGCTAAATCTACTCTGTCACTGTGTATATAAGGTTTGAAGTGACATTTATTTTTTATAATACTGTTTAGCTGGAAAGTAATGAAAGTTGCCTTAATGTCTGAAAAATTTGGAACTTGCTGGACAGGGTAGTTTTATCTAACTTATATAATTTAAGAACAAAATCCTAAGGTGTGTTTTCTGATTCACTGGTGCCCATGTTGCTGTTGACTGATAGCATTTCAAAAATGGCCTCTAAATGGTATGCACATTTAGACAGGAAACACTGAATTGTACTTTCTGTATTTGGTCTATTTTTTTTAACAAATTATAATCCGAATATTTGAAAAGGAAGAATTCAAAACTGTATAATAGTTATCTCAAATATAACTTTTAAGCACATTTTTTCTCATTACATCAGTGTTCTAGTGCTCTTCCTAGCTAACAGGTGATCTAGGATGAGGTTTTTTTTTTTAACAGGTTGTTTTTTTTTTTTTAGCAGTGATCTAAGCAAACTCAACAGCAGCTCAGTTTTATTACAACTTCCTTTTGACATGTCTACAGTGATTTTTTTTTTTTTTCTGAACTATTAACAAGTTATTTCACTTTTGGGAGCAAAACTTTTAGAGCTAAAAACATGGAATACTAGTTTTACTCTCGCACCTACAATGACATCGATTTAAAATGTTTTTCCTTGTCCTGCAGTTGGCTGAGGGTTAAATTGCTTGAGGATTCAGAAATTTGAAGTATGTGATGAACAGTTAAAAATTTATAATGCAGCTAATGAAACCGCTTTACTTGTTCTATAATGTTGTGAGATGTATTGTCTCCTTTTCTGTTAATCTGTCTATAAAAATGCTGCTTTTTTGAGGAGCATTTTAAATTACTGGCATATATAGCAAATGTATCATCTTCATAAGATGAGACATGATTTGTTAATTGCATAAGGCATATCAGAAATATATGCTCAACCACATCTGTTAAACAAACAACTCCAATTTGCTTCTAGTCTTCCATAACAAAAGATCTTACAAAGCGCTTGGGAACGGAGAAGACATGCTATGAAAAATGGCCTGGTATAGCAAAACTGTAATAACTTGAACCGACTTTCTAACTTGTTTGTATTAATGTTGGTGTCTCTAGCCTGTTGCACTTAGCAACTGTGCCACAAAGCTAAAACAGAAACAGACCAGAGCTTGGAACAAAGAAATACACGACGTATTTCCATTATAGGACAAAATAAGAGATTAGTAAGGAGGAGATGTTTACAAAAATGGCTAAATTTATTACTCGTAATTTCTGTACTGGACACTTGTTTATGGCTAGTCTGGCTGCAGTTCACAACTTCGGTATCTGTGCATTTCCCATTCTGGGTCCAGTCCAGCTAAATGTTCACTGCCTTTTTCTATCCAGAGTGCTACAGGTGCCCAGGAAAAAATCAAATCTAGTTCTTCAGTGCCATGAGTTGAAATTAGAAGAGCTCAAACAGCCTGGACCTTCAAACTACGCGTTCTCTTTCCGCAATTTCTCTTTGTTTATTCTGTTTGGAGAGAGGAAAGCAGAGTAAACCCTCTATAGAAGTTAGCAATATTTGCAGTAATTCTTAGCTCTTACCACAGCTATCTGGAAAGGAGACTCTAGATTCATGTACAGATCTGACTACATCAACTGTGTTTTAGGTAGTGATTTTAAACACACACCCTACCCCTACCCCTGTTGTCTGAGTGCATTGAAATGCTACAAATTCTTCAATACAAGGCAGGAGGCGGAATTTCATCATTTCTGTTCTTTTAGCTCTAATGGCTCCTTGCTGCTGCTCTCCAGTGTTTAAAAGTGGTTGTGTGACTAGAAGGATCCTGTATGTTGAGGAGTTTATGCTTGTGTTTGTGGCTAAATCTGCTTTAAAACATCTGTTTTGGGTTACTGGTACTTTTTAGTCAGCAGTGTGGTGGTTTTGGTACTTGGCATTCTTTGGGACTACCCAGAACCCTGGTAAGTATGGTAGGCAGGCATGTGTCATGGTCACTTAGGAGAAGAGGATGTTCAGTTAGAGGAACTGGTGTTGGTAGAATCTCGCTTGTAGCGCAGTGCAGATCTACATCTAAATAATATTCAGTTGTTGATCTATTAAAGCAAATTTTTTAAGTACTTGCTGTTCTTCTTAAGAAATAACACTATTTCTCAATACATGCACTTTTGTTTTCAAATGTAGATACAGGCTTTTATGTTAAATTAGTTTATTTTTTATGAGAATCCAGAGCTATTAAAATACCAATGTTGTAAACAAAATCTCTGCCTTTTAAACTGCTCCAAATGCAGGAATACAATATAGTTAGGATAACTTTTTTTTATACTGCTATGCAGTTTGTGAAACATCTATGGTATATAGTCAGTCTATGAAAATGTGGCTTGTTCACATTGCCCTTGAATTTTAAACATGTTGTATCCCCTTTCTGGTACATCTTCCTTACAGCGTATATAGACAGCTGTTCCAGTTTTTCTTTTACTTGATACCACATTGCTACTTTGTTTAAAATACTATGTTTTCAATCATTATGCAATATTTTTTTGCAATGTCTGTTGAAATCCTAATAAAACTTTTGGAGTTTCTCTTTTAGTATGATTGTATTTCTTTTAAAGCTTATCATCAGCCTCCCAGTGCTCAAACATGGTGCTCAATGTCTGCCTCTAGGATTTCACTAAGTACTCAAAAAATAGTTACATAAAGAAATCTATTTACAAACACTTTAAACATTGCACAATTTGGATTATATATGTTAATATTCATTTCAGTACAAAGATTGGTCATTTGTTTTTATACTTCATGCCCATTTCTACTGCTTTGGTCCATTATGCAGCGTAGATTCCCTTCCATAATTAAAGGTTTAACTACATAACTTTGAAGACTCATATTGGGCCTTGTAGGTTAGTTTTAATTAGTTGGGATTTTTTTCTGAATAATAAATTAGAATATTTGATCAATATGATACAGTACTGTTTTGCAAAGAACATTTTCAGTGCGTTGTCTAATGAGTGAAGTTTTCTATAGAAAGTTGTTGCTTAAAATGGTACAGAAGGTAATAGTTGTAGTTCAGACTGACTGTGGAATGGCAAAACCAAAACCTCTTTAAAATAGAAGACTGCCCAGAAATTGACCTTTTGCCCTGCCATTTGGTAGTATGAATATGTTAATAGTCTTTACAAATAAAAATGGACCTATAATACATAAACTTGATAATAAATTAACCTGAGTGTTGTGGTGTGAGTCCTGGTTTCATTTCAGCTGTTACAAACTTAGACTATTTTACTTACTAGGCCATGTTAGCATTTTAATTTTTCTCTCTCCATAAGTGGATTAGATATTTTGCTGTGCAAGGAAATACTTTTTGGTTCAGTTTAACTTTCTTGATGCTTGAAGTATTCTAGAGGATTTACATGTGTGCTTTAGCTTGGTTTTCTGAGAAAACTGCTGCTAAAACTATCTTCCTAGGCTCTTT